TGTGGCCCACAAAATTCTTTATCTATTTGTAGTTCTGTCTGTACCACACTCTTTCAAGAATTGTAGCTTTTCAGGATAGCTACTGTAGTTAACTGGCCTGCGAGTCTCCCTTGGTTTCCTAAAATAATAGCACTTACCGTGTGTCTGCTGGGTCAGCAATGGGCCTGGGCAGTGGAGACAGCAGCAAATGAAACACATAAAATCCCTGCCCGAACAGTCAACGCCCTCACAGGCCGTTAGGGAGAGACAGGCCACCAGGACGTACACGCTGAACACATAGAAATGCCAGGAAGGGGCAAGAGCCCTGAGGAAAACTAAGAGAATGGGAGAGCGTGTTGGTGGCTGAGCTTTGCACCGGTCCCACCCGCTCACCATCCGCCACCCCTCCCTGCCACCCTCTCCCTGAACTAGTCACAGATCGCTGGCCCCGCCCTCACGCAGCAGCCAGCCCCCCACGCAGATCCATGAACTGCTCATGCTTTGTCCGTGCATTCCTCTCTGGCTTTAATGTTTTATATGAATAATCATGGCGCTCCCTCCGTGTGAGCTGCAGGCAGCACGGCCCTGCGCCCATAAACACCCGAGCGTGCCTCTCTAAGAATAACGACATTCTCCTGCGTAATCACCAACAGCTACCACACTCAGGACACTCAATACCGAATCGATGTTATTACGCGATGTGCAGCCCATGCGTGCATCGCCCCAGGTACCCCCGGAACATCCCTGATGGCTGCGTTTCCCCTTCCCTCTCTTCCTGTCCATCCCAGAACCACCCATTGTGTCTGATCGTCGTGTCTCTTTGTCCGCTTCACTCTGGATCAGTCCCTGAGCCTTCCCGTGGCTTTCGTGACCCCGACACTTTGGAAGAGGACAGGCCAGTTACTGGGACAGTCTTCGGTTTGGGCTTGTCCGTTTCCTCGTGGTCAGATTCAGGCGGGACCCGGGGAAGTGATGCCGTGTCCTCCTCATTGCCCAGGAGGCACGACACCCACTTGTCCCCTTACTGGTGATGTCCACCTCAGCCCTTTGGTAAAGATGGTGCTAAAGACTTTCAACAGTAAAGTTAAATTTAAAAAACACGCACCTTAAAAAAATGATGGTGCTAAAATCACCACATTCTACTATCGCTTGAAGTTTACATTTCTTTTTAAAAATATTTTTTGCCCTGACTGGTTTGGCTCATTGGATCGAGCGTCGGCCTGCGGACCGAAAGGTCCCAGGTTCGATTCTGGTCAAGGGCATGTACCTTGGTTGTGGGCACATCCCCAGTAGGAGGTGTGCAGGAGGCAGCTGATCGATGTTTCTCTCTCATCGATGTTTCTAACTCTCTCTCTCTCTCCTTTCCTCCCTGTAAAAAATGAATAAAATATATTTTAAAAAATATTTTTTATTGATTTCAGAGAGGAAGGAGAGGGAGAGAGAGATAGAAACATTGATGAGAGAGAGTCTTTGATCAGCTGCCTCCTGCCCGCCCCCTACTGGGGATCGAACCTGCAACCCGGGCATGTGCCCTGACCCGGACTCAAACCATGACCTCTTGGTTCATAGGTTGACACTCAACCACTGAGCCACACGGGTTGGGTCAACCCATTTCTTTTTTTCATTTTAATTTTTTCAATTACAGTTGACATTCAATATTCTGTTAGTTTCAGGTGTACAACATAGTAGTTAGACATTTATAAAACTTACACAATGATCCCCCAATAAGTCGAGTACCCACCTGGCATCATACATAGTTATTAAAATATTATTGACTCTATTCCTTATGCTGTTCTTCACATCCCCATGACTGTTTTGTAGCTACCGATTTGTACTTCTTACTCCCTTCACCTTTTCCTCCCAGACACCCACTCCCCTCCCATCTGGCAACCAGTAGTCTGTTCTCTGTTTCTGTCTTGTTTGTTCATTTACTTTGTTTTTTAGATTCCACATACAGTGGGGCCTTGACTTACGAGTTTAATTCGTTCCGGGACCGAGCTCATTAAGGAGCTCGTTAAGGAGCTCATTAAGTCAAATTACTCTGTCAACTCAATGCAAAAAATCGGCCAAGAGACAGCTGGTATCTCAAAAAGCTCGTTAGTCGGGACACTCGTAAGTCAAGGCCCCACTGTATAAGGGAAATCTTATGGTATTTGTCTTTCTCTGACTGACTTATTTCACTCAGCATAATACCCTTTGGGTTCCTCCATCTTGTCACAAATGGTAAGATTTCACTATTTTTTTTATGGATGAGTAATATTCCATTGTGTATATGTACCATATTTCCTTTATCCACTCATCTATTAATGGACATCTAGGTTGCTTCCATATCTTGACTAGCCTATATAATATAAGCCTAATATGCTAAGTGTCCGGTCATTCAGTTGGACATTCAACCAATCAAAGGATAATATGCTAATGATATGCTAAGGCCACTCAACCGCTCACTATGATGTGCATTGACCACCAGGGGGCAGATGCTCTGACCAGTAGGTTAGCTTGCTGCTGGGGTCCAGCCAATTGGGCCTGAGCGAGATGGGCCGGACATGCCCTGAAGCCCTCCCCTGGTCCCTCCCCTGCTGGCCAACCTCCTGCATCCTTCCCTGGCCTGATAGTGCACCAGTGGGGTCCCTCGGCCTGGTCTGCATCCTCTCACAATCCGGGACCCCTTGGGGGATGTCGGAGAGCTGGTTTCGGCCCAACGGCAGAACGACCGGTCGCTATGATGCACACTGACCACCAGGGGGCAGATGCTCAATGCCGGAGCTGCCCCCTGCTGGTCAGTGCGCACTCCCACAGGGGGAGCACTGCTCAGCCAGAAGACGGGCTCACAGTTGGCTAGTGCAGCGGCGGTGGTGGGAACCTCTCCCGCCTCCACGGCAGTGTTAAGGATGTGGGACTAGGGCTCCCAGACTGTGAGAGGGCACAGGCCAGGCTGAGGGACTCTCCCCCTGCCCCCAGTGCACAAATTTCATGCACCAGGCCTCTAGTTGAAAATACCACTGCAATGAACGTAGAGATGTATATGGCTTTCAAACTAGTGCTTTGGATTTCTTTAAATAAATACCCAGATGTGAACTTGCTGGGTCATAGGTGGTTCTATTTTTTTTTTTAACTTTTTGAGGAATCTCCACACTGTTTTCCATAGCGGCTGCACCAATGTGCATTCCCACCAACAGTTGAGGGTTCCCTTTTCTCCACATCCTTACCAGCTCTTGTTTGTTGATAAGTTTACATTTCTAACACCCCACAACTTTAGGATCCTGAGATTCTAATATTAATATGTAAATATCACTAGCTAGCTTTTGTTGAGTGCTTTTCCTGTATTAACGCAATTCTCTTTTTTTAAAAACATATTTTTATTGATTTCAGAGAGGGAGAGAGAGATAGAAACATCAATGATGAGAGAGAATCACTGACTGGCTGCTTCCTGCACGCCTCCTACTGGGGATCGAGCCTGCAACCTAGGCATGTGCCCTTTTGGGAATTAAACTGTGATCTCCTGGTTTATAGGTCGACGCTCGCCCGCTGGGCTAACTCAATTCTTATAACAACACCATGAGGTAGACACTATTATTAGCTGCATTTTACAGACGAGGAAACTGAGGGTCAGAGGGCTGCAGCATCCTAACTTCCCAAGTTCTTACAGCGGGCACGGGGCCCGGCCCTGCTGGGCACAGGTTGGCCCACCTGGCTGGGCGTCTCAGCCACCATGGACAGCGCCCTTGTGGGCCAGCGGACTTTGGCAACGGAGCCCATGTTCCTCCACTCGGGGTCTTGTCATCTGGTTCTACCGCTTTGCCAGAAGCTTGGGGTCCCTCTGCCTCTCCCACAGGGCTGGGCTTCCCTGGGAGAACTGGAACCCGGGACCCCTTTCTTCTGAAAGTGGTAATTAACGATAGTGAACACTTATCGATCATATAGTGCATTTCAGAACCGGAGCCGAGTCCCTGAGGTGCATGGTGGGAGGGGTGGGAGGGAAAATTAAAGGTTTTATAGATGGATTGACACCCCAGAGTCACTCTGCTGTCTACAGCCCTACCAGGAAGACTCCACTCATTCCCTGTCCCCTCACAGCTCCCCCTGATTAAGCTAATGTCACTGCCTCGCTCCCTCCCCCACCCCACTGTAGAGCATCCTGTGTGCCCTTCAGCGACATGTTTAAACGTAAGCCAGCCCACCCCCCTCCGCTGCTCAGAGGCCTCTCGCCGTTTCCATCTCACTTGGACTAATGGCCAGAGCCCTCATCGTGGCGCACCAAGGCCTACGCCATCTGCTCCTGTTCCCCCTGTGACGTCATCTGTCCCCCTCTCCCCTCCCCCCTCCACTGCAGCCACACTGGCCTCTAATACTCCAGGCCGCTGCTGCCTCAGGACATTTGCACGGGCTGTTCCCTTTAACACGAATACTCTTCTCCAGATCTCCTCCACTTGGCTCCCTCCTCGGGTCTCTGCTCAGATGTGGGCTCCTCAGCAAGGATTTTCCAGACCACCCTGACACGGCACCCCCTCCTCACTCCCCACCCTCTCCCTCTATTTTCTCCGAGGCACCATCGCCACCTGACGTCATGTTTGTTATTCATCTCCTGCACTAGAGCTCTCTGCTGCTCTGGTTTTACTGCTGTTTCCCCAGCACTTAGAACAGCGCCTGGCACACAGCAGGTGCCCAATAAATATTGGTTGAACGAAGCAACCGCAATTAAATCGTTAAATGTGTAATTGTCACCGTGATACGGCTCTGCCATGAGGCTGTGCGCTCCGTGAAGACAGTCTGTTCCCCGCTGTGTTCCCAGCAGCGCCCAGCACAGGGCAGAGCAGGTGCTCAGGGAGCGTTTGTTAAATGAATGAATGAATGAACGAATGATGCCAAGTTCAGGAATGTGGTCTTTCTCTTGGGGGTCCCGGGAACACAGAAGGGTTTGTCAGAAGCCTGACAAGGCCAGTCTTGGGCCCTGCAGTGCTTCTACTCCAAGGGCGGTCCATTTATGGGGACTGTCTGCATCCCCTGGGAGCTAATTAGAAATGCAGAGTTTTTGAAACCTGCAGCTACGGAAGCAGAACCTGCATTTTAACAGGACCCCCACGTGATTTGTGTGCCCATGAAGGTTTGAGACTCATGACTATGGGACCCTCCAGATTCTCTCTCCACCTGGGGACTTTGCATGTGCTGTTCCCTCTGCCTGGCGAACTCCTGCCCACAGAAGCCTCCTCCAGGAAGCCCGCCCTGATTTCACAGTCATCATTATCTGTATAATGCTGGACCAACTCTGCCCTGTTCCCCCCCTGCATCCCCTCCCCGCCGGGAGCCCACCTGATTCCCCCTCGGTATTATTGGTTTAATGCCTGTCCACTCTCATACCCGAGAGCTGTCCCGCGGCACTGCCCCCTCCTCCGGGAAGCCTGCCCTGACTGCCTTCGCCCCTCTCTCCCCGCCCCTCCGCTGCAGCGAGGGCACGCTGGTGTTCAAGCCGGGCGAGACGCTGAAGGAGCTGCGCATCGGCATCATCGACGACGACATCTTCGAGGAGGACGAGCACTTCTTCGTGCGGCTGCTGAACCTGCGCGTGGGCGACGCGCAGGGCATGTTCGAGCCCGACGGCGGCGGGCGGCCCAAAGGGCGGCTGGTGGCGCCGCTGCTGGCCACCGTCACCATCCTCGACGACGACCACGCGGGCATCTTCTCCTTCCAGGACCGCCTGCTGCACGTGAGCGAGTGCATGGGCACCGTGGACGTGCGCGTGGTGCGCAGCTCGGGCGCGCGCGGCACCGTGCGCCTCCCCTACCGCACGGTGGACGGCACGGCGCGCGGCGGCGGCGTGCACTACGAGGACGCGTGCGGGGAGCTGGAGTTCGGCGACGACGAGACCATGTGAGAGCGCAGGGTCCCCTCCCCCACCCCCACCTGGGGGTCCGGGAGGGGGCGTGGCCATGCCCGGGAGTCTGGGAGCGGGGCTGGGAATGAGCGGGTGGGTCTGCCCGTGGGCGGGGCGTGGTGGTGGGAATGGGCGTGGTCTGGTTGTGGGTGGGGCCTGGGTAGGTCCGCGCTGGTGAAATGGAAAGGTCAGGGTAGATGGACAGGGAACAGAGAGGGGCCAGGTCAGGAGAGAGGAGGGAGGAGACAGCAGTGATGGGGTGTGGCCAAGATGATAGGAAGGGGCGTGGGTGGGGCCTGGGAGAAACTAGTTGTTGGGGGAGAAGTGGGGACTCGGAGGAAGAGTCAGAGAAGAGTAGAAGGGCCTGGGCAGAGGAGTGTGGAGACTTCATCGGTAGTTGGTGGAGATGGAGTGTGGCCTGCGGAGACGAGGGGAGGGTCCCGTGGAGGTGGGAAGAGGACGGAGTGGAGGGCGAGTCTGTGGAATGGAGACAGGGCCTACGGCATGGGTGGAGTCTGGGTAGGAACACGAGGAAATAGACCTGGACAGCGGGAGAGGGCGGGGCATAAGGAGATGGGGCGGGGCTTGTGGGGAGCAGGTGGAACCTGGAGAAATGAGAGACCGAAGCAGCGGTTCTCAACCTGTGGGTCTCGAACAATGAAAATACATCCTGCATATCAGATACTTACATGACGATTCATAACAGTAGCAACATTACAGTGATGAAGTAGCAACGAAAATAATTTTATGGTTGGAGGTCACCACAACATGAGGAACTGTATTAGAGGGTCGCGGCGTTAGGAAGGTTGAGAACCACTGGACCGAAGTGAAATGTGGGCAACGCTTTGGGAAAAGACTGAGTAGCAATATGGGGACCTGGGAAGGGGGCGGCAGGGCCTGGGACACTGGGGGGCTGGGGTTTGGGAAGGTGGCGTGGAGTCTGGGGAGCGGGGCTGGGTGCACAGGCAGACATCTGTAGACACACAGACACAACCAACACACACGTACACACACACACACACACACACAGGCAACATACAGACACAAAATGTCACAGACAGGCACGTTGAAACAGGGCTGCTATGACGCCCAGACACCCGGCCACGGCCTGACACAGATGCCCGAGTCTCCCGGGGGTGCCTGCAGCCTCACCTCCCCCACCCGCCTGCCGGGGATGCTGCGCGCGCCTGTCCCCCTTCGCCCGCTCCCTTCCGCCGCCCCCGCACGCCCGTCTGTCTCCCTCCTCCTGCCGCCCACGCTGCTCCTCCCACCGAGCCGAGCCCCCACCGCGCTCCTTCCCCCTCCTCCTCCCACCTCTGTGCCTTGGCCTCCGCCCAGCTTCTCACCGCTCTCGCTCTCTCCCCTGTGCGTCTCTGCCGCCTCCCTCTCCCGCACTCTCCCCCCGGGTCTCTGTTCATCTCTAGATCTCTGTATCCAGCTCTCTGGCCGGGTTATATTTCAGTAATGAATTCTCCATACCTCTCCATCGTTCGCTCTGTCTGGCTGGGGTTGAGAACTTGGGTTGGGGGCTCAGAGCTCCATCCGTGGAGGGGAGAGGATGCAAGAAGAGACAGACAGACAGACACAGAGACAGAGGAGACCTGGAGAAAGAGAGAGATAGGGAGAGGCAGAGCCAGAGTAACAGAGTCAGAGAGAGAGAGAGAAGCAGACAGAAAAGAGACACAGAGAGCATGAGAGAGATAGAAACTTAGAGACAAAGAGAGAAGGAAACAGAGAGACAGAGACACAGCAAGAGAGGCTGAGGAGCCCTGGCCAGCGTGGCTCAGTTGGTTGAGCGTTGTCCCGAGCACCCAAAGGTCGCCGGTTCAATTCCCAGGGGTTCGGTTCCCGATTCCTGGTGCGGAAGGCTATCTGATCAACGTGTGTCTCTCTCTCTCTCTCTCTCTCTCTCTCTCTCTCTCTCTCCCTCTCTCTCTCTCTCTCCCTCTCCCTCTCCCTTACTCTCTCTCTCCACAATCAATAAAAACATTTGTTTTAAAAAGGAGAGGGAGAGGGAGAGATTGAGGGACTGAGATGAAGGAAGACTGAAGGGAGAGAGATTAAGGGGAGATGAGAGAGATTCTGAACGGGAGCCTCAGAGGGACTCGGGGAAGGAGAGGTCCTGGGGAAGCAACAGAGAAAAAAAGAGGTCAGGTAGCAAGAGACAACAGGAAGCAGCAGGAGAAGGGAATGGGTCTGAGGTCAGAGGCCGCAGTGGGCGGGAGAGGGGAGTTTCCAGGACACAGGAGGGCAGACGTGAGGGTGATGGAGAGTCAGGCTGGGGGGAAGGCTTCTTCCTTGACCTCAGCAAGCCCTGCCCTTGTCTCGCTCTAGTCCCTCCTGCTGTCCCTACCAGTTGGGTGTCTCCCCCTGGGTCCCCTGAGGCCATGCTGTCAGGGCGCCGGTTGGTGTATGTGTCAATGCGTGTCAGTCACTGCATGTCGGTGGATCGTGGCATGTCTGTGAGAGAGTGGGCGTGTGTGTGTGTGTGTGTGTGTGTGTGTGTGTGTGTGTGACCCTGTCAGCGGGTCACCCTGTCAGCCGCTGTCTGCGTGGGTCAGGGTGTGTGAGGAGCGTGTCTCAGCCGATCCTGCGCCTTGCCAAGGCGCTTCAGCACCACGGACAGCTCCCCGCCCACGCCTGAGGTGGGGGCCGGCCATCCTTTGCACCCACAGAAAAGTTAAAATATACTGAGAGCAGGAGAGGGTGGCGGTGGGCGTACGTCCCCGTGTGACCGCTTTGTGTGTGTGTCTGTCTTTGCATGGGTGTCACTGTGACTTGTGCATCTGTGTGTTGAGATGGGCCTGTTGAGACCCTTTTGCTTGAGTTGTGTTGACGTGGCCGTTCCACTCTGTGAACACCGAGAGACCCAGACAGAGAACAGATAAAGAAAGGCAGAGAGCTGGGGAGAGACTGAGGCAGAGAGGGTCACAGCCAGAGACAGGGACGGAGAGACGGAGAGGTAGAGACAGAGGGAGGCTGAGAGATGAGCAGAGAGACAGGGAGATTGAAAGAGATGCCGAGATGCGGGAGGGGGGGGCATTGAAGGGAATAAACAGAACCAAAAGGCATAACGCGCGAGATCTGCAGGAGGAGAGGCTGCCTGGTAACACCAGGGGTCTGTAGGTTGGCCCTGTCGCCGCGGCTGTGGTGGGGGCGTCGTGTTCACGGGCATCTGGTCCCCACGACTTCGCCACTTGCACAGGGAATGGCTGCGGGTGCGATGGTGTGCGGCTGGGGGCGGTGTGATTGGCTGTGCTTCCTCTCTGGGTGACTGTGTGGGCCGGTGTTTGTGTGCCTGGTTCTGGGGCTGGGCCTTGTGGTTCCTGCCGCCGAAAGCGCTGCTGGTGGCAGCGTGTGGGCCTTCTGGGGTTGTGGGTCTTTGTGACGGAGGGGTGGGTTGTGTGCCGAAAGGGGAGGGATAACGTCTGTCTGTTCCTCCTCTGCCACACCCCGGTTACCATAGCAGCGGGGATGCCGAGGAAGTCAATTAGCACTCGGTTAGCCTTCCAGATGTGTACAGGACAGAGGGCAGGGAGCTGGTGGTCTCTTGGGCTGAAGGGTTCGAGTTAACAGAGGTTTGTGGAAGGTGCCTGCCCTAGGAGCTGGGGAGTCAGCAGAGAACGTAAATGAACACAGGTCACGGCCCTGGTGGAACTTGCCTTTTAATGCCAGGAGGCAGATGGCAAAGAATAAACAAAATAAATGCACACACTAGATGGTGTGTTAGAACAAAGACAACAGAACCCAGAAGGGGTTAGGGATGCTGGGGGGCGGGCAGGGGCGGATTTCAGTATTAAAGGAGGTGGTGGGAATGGGCCTCATTGAAAAAGAAGGTGGAGCCTCGCCCGCATGGCTCAGTGGCTGAGCGTTGACCTATGAACACAAGGAGGTCACGGTTCGATTCCCGGTCAGGGCACATGCCTGGATGCGGGCTCTATCCCCATTGTGGGGTGTGCAGGAGGCTGCCAATCAATGATTCTCTTTCATCATTGATGTTTCTCTCTCTCTCTCTCTCTCTCTCTCTCTCTCTCTCTCCTTCCCCTCTGAAATCAATTAAAAAAATTAAAGAAAAAGGTGGAGTTTGAGGACTAGAGGAGTGAGGGCGTGAGCCTGGAGGAACAGTGTTCTCGGTGGGAGGAACAGCCATGGAAAGGCCCTGAGGCATGCGCAGGCTGGTTGTTTCAGGGACAGTAAGGAGGCCAGTGTTGCTGGGGTGAGTGAGCAAGGGGAGGGGGAGCGAGGCCAGGAAGGGAACAAGGGCCACATGGCACGGGGCCTTGCGGGCCACTCGGACTCTGGCCTGGATCCCGGCTGAGAGGGGAACCGCCTGAGTGCCCTGAGCAGAGGAAGCACCGGATGTAACTTGGGTCGTATCGGAATCCCTCGGGACGGACGCTCTCTAATAAGCCTCAGCTCCCTCGGCGGTTTCTGGGCTTGTGCCTGTCACGTGGGGATAATAAGAGAAAGAGAGGGCCTTCCTCTGAGGATGGTTGTAGGACTGAATGAGGTGACGGGACCTGGGACGGAGCGGGGCTCAGGGAATGGGGTGGCTAAGAGGGAAGTTATCGGTGGTTCAGGGGAGGGGCCTCATGCCCCGTGTCCTGCTTCGCCCGCCCAGGAAAACTCTTCAGGTGAAGATAGTGGATGACGAGGAATATGAGAAAAAGGATAATTTCTTCATCGAGCTGGGCCAGCCGCAGTGGCTTAAGCGAGGGATCTCAGGTGAGGGCTGAGGGGTGAGGGGTGGGCTGTGGGAGAGATAAACGGTCCAGGGTGCGGGGACCTTGGGGGGTCCACTGTGGGTGCTCCTTCAAACTCGTGGATCTGAGCTTCCCAGGGAAGCTATCTCACTTTCTCTCTGTCTGTCTCTCCCCAGCTCTGCTGCTCAATCAAGGTGAGTGGAGTTTACCTCCTGGCTTTACTAGAAAGGGGGGGCCCTGGAGGGGGCGTCAGGGAGGGTCAGGGCCTCGAGCTGCTCTTCCCGGTCAGGTTTGAGGCAGGGTGAAGGTGAGATAAAGGTAGCCTTGGGTGAGGGTTGGAGCTGGCCTTAGAGTTGGTAGGGCCAGTTGAATTTGGGGTTATAGCTTGGGGTTCAGAAGCTGAGATTGTTTTGTTCGTAGTTAAAGTCAGAGGGGCGGGGAGTAAGTCATAGAATCCAAACTGGGTCTGCCGTGAGGTCAGAGGGAGTCAGGCTTGGGGTTAATTAGGACTCGGGTGGACTTAGGATTTGAGATCAGGATTAGGACTTGGTCACGGTTAGAGTTCAGATGGAAGCTGGTGTTTAGATTTGTGAGTAAAATTAGGGTCAGGGTCCGAGACTGGGGTGAGAGTTGAGGCTATAGGGTCAGTAACTTGGAGATAGTGAGAGAATAGAATTAGTGTTTGGGGTTATGGTTAAGGCTGGACAAAAGATTGTAATAGTCAGGGTAAGTAATACACGCTGCTGTAACAAATAGGCCCCAAACCCCAGGAGATGAACACAAAAGTCATTTCTTGCTCAGGCAATGTTTTCTGAGAGTGTAGCTGCCCGGTGGGTGGCTTTCTTCAGAGAGTTAGGGTTGGTGCTGGGCTTGGAGCAAAGGATCAACATACTTTAGGGCGATAAATGCATTCAGGGCCAGCTATAGGGGTCTAGGTCCAAGATTTGTACTGAATTGGGTCACCCCTTTTTCTTCACTCCCTCAGTCATACGCTAGGATGTTTTCAGAGCTTCAATATAGAGACCAGTCCTCCTCCCTCAAGAGTGGTGATGATGTCAGTGATAATAATAAAGAAAGTAGCTTTTCTGACTATCATGTGCCAAGCACTGTTCTAAAGACTTAACAGGAATTAATTCTTTTAATTCTTGCAATTACCTTATAAGGGAGGTATTATTATTGTGTCCATTATATAGATATGAGCACTGAGGCACAGAGAGGCTAAAGCATTGCCCAAGGCCACACAGTGGAACCTCATAGGAACCTCAGAGCCCAACAACTGAACCTTGTGGATCAGCCATGGGAGCTGGGGCAGGAGCTGGGGAAGATGATGGTCAGAGAGGAGGCTGGGGCAGGCTGGAGGGGTGTCACCAGGTGGCTTCCCAGAGGACACAGACAGTGAAGGCATCACAGGCCCAACTAGCTAGGCCTCCCTGGAGTCTAACCCCCATCCCTCATGCTGCAGGGGACGGGGACAGGAAGCTGACCGCGGAGGAGGAGGAGGCTCGGAGGATAGCAGAGATGGGCAAGCCGGTTCTTGGGGAAAACTGCCGGCTGGAGGTCATCATTGAAGAGTCGTATGACTTTAAGGTGATTTTCTGGCGCCTCCCTATCTTGGAGTTTTGCTTGAGTTGTTTCCGTGGAGAGAGTCTAAGAGATCAACTATGAGGGTCACAAGAGAGGGGCAACCAAGGGTCCAGAGCCACCCTCCAGGTCCCTCCATTAGCACCATGGACAGCACACACCTCCCTTTTCCCTTTTGCTAGTAGCACTGGGGTATGGAAGGTTGGGGGCCCCTGAGCATGGGGTGTGGGCCCCCAACCCCAGTCCCCCTCATGGGGCAGTCTTGGGTGATCGCGGACAACAATCTCTTTCCCACCCTTTCGTCCCCAGAACACAGTGGATAAACTCATCAAGAAAACGAACTTGGCTTTGGTGATTGGCACCCATTCATGGAGGGAGCAGTTTTTAGAGGCAATTACGGTGAGCGCAGGTAAGTGGGGAGGGAGGAGAGAGAGACAGAGAGAGAGGGGCGGGCAGAGAGAGACACAGAGAGAAATGTGTGGAAAGACGGAGGGAAAGAGACAAGGAGAGAAAGACAGAGAGATAGAGAAAGAAAAGAACAGGAAAGACACTGAGAGGGACAGACAAAGAGAAAAGGAAAGACACAGGTACAGGAAGACAAAAGAAAAGATGGAGGTCAGAGACAGACAAGACAGACAGGCACACAAAGAGACTCACCGGAGAAAGACAGAGGCGGAAGAAATGGGACCTAGAGAGTGAAGTCAGTACACAGCATGAGGCCAGGGAGGGGCAGATAGACCCAGAGAGAAAGGCGGACAGAGATGGAGGGGCCGAGGTGCAGGGCTGCGGGCAGGAGGGTACCGCCCAGGCTTTCGTCTGGAGATTGGAGGGTGGAAACAGGTTAAAAGGCCTGCCCGCCCCAGATAGAGCCTGGGCTCCTCTGTTGCCATGGAGACAGTCACCACAGCACCCAGCGGCATCCCCCTGTAAGGTGTCCACCCTCCTTAGGCCTCAGACGGTTTCCTACTGCCCCCCCGTGGCCAGAGACACTATGACACTCGGATCACAGTCTGGGGTACAAATTGGGGAAACTGAGACCCAGAGACAGAGGAGGGACTGGCCTGAAGCCCCACAGGGAATCCAGAAAGAGCTGCGGTGGTGCCCGGGGCTTCTGTCCCCTGCACAGCATCAGTTTCCCTCCGGGGAGGCCTATCCGGTGGGAACCGAAACACAGGAACTGTGGTTGGAAAGACACTGGTCAGAGGTGGGGCCCACAGACGCCAGGCTTCGGGGATAGAAAAGCAGCAGGCAGCGGCCGAGAGACAGCAGATCGGAGGCCTAATAGAAACGAGGTGGTGTCTCCCCCCCGAGGCCACATCCTCTGACATCTACTTCTGAGGGATCCCCGGCCCCGGCCCTGTACAGGACATTCCTGGGGACAGAGGTGACCATGACAGCTCAGGCCCTGCCCTTGTGGGGCTCACAGTCCAGTGTGGGAGACAGACCTGTCACAAGAGTGACAGCCCAGAGTGGGCAGGGCTGGACTGGGGCCCTCCGGGAGCTGCACAGGGGGGCCTGGCCCAGCTTGAAGGTCAGGAGAGCTTCCTGGAGGAGGAGGCTTCTGAGCTGAGTCTTCAGAGGCAAATAGGAGTGTGTCCTCCATGCTCTGGCCTTCGCCATGTCTCCCTGTGGTCAGCAAGGGGTGCGCTCGGTGGCAAGTAACAGAAAACTCGACCACAAGTGGCGTAAGCACACGAGTTTATTTTTCTCACGGGAGGAAAATTAATCTGCAGGAGGCCAGTTAGCAGCAGCTTAATAATGTCATTAAACCCCCAGGCCACTTCTTTATTTCTCAGCTTTTGCTTCGTGGTTGCAGAGTGGCTGCTGCCCCTCCAGGTGTCGAGTCTGTATTCCAGGCAGGAAGAGAGGGAGCAGGGGAGCAGGAAGGGGCAGCCGGCCTGTCGCGTTTGAGTTTCCAATTCCACTTAACTTGGGGTCACAGCAGAAGCCTCCCTCTTTGAGATGTAACATGCAGAACCCCCAAGACCCCACACAACCACTTAATGAAGCATCTACAGATTCAAGCATTTATTTCCTTAACAAGCCAAGTGACTAAAAGCGGGGAAGGAATAATTGAAGCGAATCCCCGAGCCCGTCCAGCTCTCATGGCCTCCACTGCCCCCGGGCAGCCTCTGCCGCTGACATCCTGCGGGGCCACTGGGCTGCACCACGGGAAGTGGCTTCATAATTTGGTGGCCGCCTGCCTTTTATTCCCCGACTTGTTCTGAGTGACCGGTCAGGGGTCACGGGGTCTCTTACCAGATGTTGGGTTGGCACACTCGTGTGCTCCTTGCTCTTCACTCATTGCTTTGTGCTTGTCAGTTTAGGGCGAGGCGGACAAATTGTCATTTGTGCCTTCTCATCACAAAAGTCACTGCAGGTCAAAAGAGGGTCGGTTTCGGTCGCAATAGCTGACACAGACGACTCTAAGAATGAAGGGCCCTTCACAAGGCTCAGAACACACCGCCCCTATCAGGAAAACTAGGTATTTCCAGAAACCCTCTGTTTCGGACTCATTGCCAGACGGGGTCACATGGCCACTGCTGCAAGGGATTCTGGGAAAGCACGTATTTAGCTTAGGACTACTAGCTGCAAGGAATTTGGGGAACGTGAATATTTTCATCTGAGGATGTGGCCATTGCTAGCCTTAAGGGATTCTGGGAGAGTGACTGTTAGCTGGATACATGGCTCTCTCTACCTGCAAGGGACTTTGGGAAATCAAGCGTGTGGCTACTGTGAGCTGCCACGAATCAAAGGAACCGAACACTTCTTCCTGCAGAATATGTCTACCTGTGAATGTTTCTACATGTCTGTCAGTAGCTGTAAAGGGATGTGGCCACCCCTAGCAGCAAGGGATCCTGGGAAGCTGGATATTTTCAACTGGGCATATGGCCTCCTGAAACTTAGAGGGATTCTGGGAAAGTAAATATTTTCACCTGGGCCTAACATTCTCCTAGCTGCAAGGGATTCTGGGAAAGTAAATATTTTCACCTGGGCCTAACATTCTCCTAGCTGCAAGGGATCCTGGGAAAGTATTGTTCTTAGCTGTTGACATGGACACACCTAGCTGCAAGGGATCTTGGGAAAGCGATTCGTTTTATGGGACTGGCTGTCCGGAAGTTGAACAGAGTGGGGCTGCAGGCGAGGAAGGAGGCATGGGTGTGTACCCCAGCTGGGTCGTGTGCCCACAGGGGACGAGGAGGAGGAGGAGGACGGGTCCCGGGAGGAGCGGCTGCCTTCGTGCTTTGACTACGTCATGCACTTCCTGACGGTGTTCTGGAAGGTGCTGTTCGCCTGCGTGCCCCCCACGGAGTACTGCCACGGCTGGGCCTGCTTCGGCGTCTGCATCCTGGTCATCGGCCTGCTCACCGCCCTCATCGGGGACCTTGCCTCCCACTTTGGCTGCACCGTGGGCCTCAAGGACTCCGTCAACGCTGTGGTCTTCGTGGCCCTGGGCACCTCCATCCCCGGTAACCCCCTGGGGACCCCTAGCGGGCTAGGGTCTCGGAGAGGCCAGGCAGTGAGGCCTCAGAGAAAGGTCCTGCAGAGATGAGCCGATAGGATCGTCCAGAACGCATGTGGGGGGTCCCAGAGGAGTATCCTGGTGGATAATAGAGACAGGTGGGGGTCCCCTAGATTCACTGTGAGTAGAGTCCGCAAAGCAACCAGGGGGAGCGCCCCACCAGGTGGAACTCGGGAGGTGGGAAATGCTAGAGCCTGAGGATGGGTTCCATAGAAGCAGGATGTTCGTTTCCCCTTCTCTCCCCTGCCCCCGCCAAGGAACCAGATAGAACTCTGTTGCTGGGCATGAGAGGAGCCAGTGAGTTTTGAAGCTTTCCCGAAGATGAGGGAGCGAGTAGAAACCAGAGGTTAAGGCGGGGGTGCCATACAAATAAGATGGTGGCGTTTCAGAGACCATCGCTTATGTCCCATTAAAACGCGGTGGCCACGGTCCCCTCTTCCCAAATAAACCCAAGCGAGAGTCCCTTCAACACTGGGTGTCAGAGACTGCAGTTCCTGCAGGAGGAGGGAGGCCAGGTGGGTGGGGAGGCCGAAACCTTGGTTCCCACATCGCTGTGGTCACCAGCCAGGTGTGGCCCTGTCCTTGGGGAATGTTGGCCTTTCCAAGCCGGCCCTCCAGACCAGAGGCCTGAGCTGTTAGCAAGACGTTCAGGGGTGGGTGGGGCCGCAGAGGCCAGGCCCCTGCTTGACAGAAACCACGTGGGGAAGGGACAGGAAAGGGGTTGCACGGGGTGGAGCCTGGCACTGACCTGACCCGGCCTGGTGGCAACAAGCCGATTGGGCCCAGGGAAAGCCGGCAGCAGGCTCTGTAGGATGCAGAGTGGATCCCACGAAAATCAGGCAGCGAGTCCCTCGAAGCAGGCTGCGTCCCACAGGAAGCGGGCACCGGGTCCCATAGAAAGAGACAACGAGTCACATAGGAAGCAGGCAGAGGCCCGGCCGGCGTGGCTCCGTGGTTGAGCATCAACCTTTGAACCAGGAGCTCACGGTTTCATTCCCGGTCAGGGCACATGCCCGGGTTGTGGGCTTGATCCCCCATGGGGAGCGTGCAGGAGGCAGCCGGTCCATGATTATCTCTCATCACTGATGCTTCCATCTCTCTCTCCCTCTCCCTTCCTCTCTGAAATCAATAAAAATATTTAAAAAAAAAAAAAAGCAGGCAGTGGATCCCAGTGAATGTAGGCAAGTCCCCTAGAAAGCAGGGAGCGAGTCCCAGGGAAATCGGGCAGCGAGTTCTACAGAAGCAGGCGGTTGGTCCTGTAGAGCAGGCATAGGGCTGGCGACAGAGGCTCCCTCTTGGGTGGGATCAGGGCCTCACGCCCTTGTCTATCACAGGGTGCCCCCAGGGCTGCAGGGGGAAGGCGGGGCCTGTGCCAGCCGGGTCTGGGTCACGGGGCGACCCAGGGGCGTGGGGAGGCTGTGTGGGGCCTGGTCACGGGGCGTGGGGAGGATTGTGGGGTCTGGTCACGGGGCGTGGGGAGGAT